CTCGCCTCCGTTGCCGCTCGGGAGGGGGGGGGGGGTTGTCACAAGCCGGCGGTGGGACAGAAGCGCTCTCCGGCAAATGGGGCGCGGCCGCTCGGCCCCGTCCTCCCCGGGGCGCGAGCGTCTTATTCGCCGGAATTTTCTTTCTCTCTCTCTCTCTCTTTGTAATTACAAGCCTGCTTGCTTGCTTGCTTGTTTGATTTGCAAGTTGCGATCTCCCCCCCCCCCAAGTATTTGGCGGCCCCGGGCAAAGGGTAGCCAAACCGCGCGCACCGCCTAGGGTGGGCAGCGCTTGGCTTCGCAGCCTGTTGCCGATCCTGGCATTCAACACGTGGAAGTAAGAGAGGCGCCAGGGGAGGACGGGAAGGTGCCAAAAGTGACCCTTCGGTCGCCACCACCGCTCCCTGACGCTTCTAGAATAGGAGATCTCGTTGAATCCGTAAGAGAGCGACCGGGTGCTGGCAAATAATCGGGGGCCGAAAATGTGCCTTTTAAAAGAGCAATCAAAAGCAAAGCTAAAGAAAACGAGGCGGGTCACTCAGCGGTCCTCCCAGCGCAGGCGAAGAAGCGTGTATACAGAGACTTGCGAGGGAGATTTGTCACCACCTCTCTCCCAGTTTTCCTCTGTTTTTCTCCGCCTAGGGGGATCCCCGCCCTCGCCCCCCCTTTTCCTCGCAAGAAAATGCAAGCTGCGTTTTCCGCAGGAAAGGCCGGCAATTTCGTCCTTGTCGCGGTTCCCACGCAGCTCCCGGCTCCCGCGCCGCCGCCTTTCCCCTCGGACGGCTCTGCTTTTCGGCCGGGGCCTCGCAGGAGCGGAGCGCGACCCAGTCCTGTCCCGACGCTGGCCCGGGCCCAGGGAGGGCTGGGCGGGAGAGCCTGTGAACTCCTCGGTACTTTTCGCCTGCGCGATCGGGGCGGGTCTTGTCAGGGAGAAATCCTCGTCGACACCGGTTTACAAATGTGGGGGGTGAAGAGGAGGAGGGAAGCTTTGCTATAATTCAGGATTTCCGTTTTTTTAAGCAGTGCCCTTTGACAGCATTCCCCAGCGGCATCCGTAACACCCGAAGAATCAGTCCTCAAGGGGGCAGGGCCAGCCCGAGAGGTTGATGATGATCCCTCTCATTTTGGGTACAAAAACCAAATTGCCCTGCAGCTGAATTTTACTTGAAAGCTGGCTAGTATCTAACCAGACGCCGCCGTCCTCCACTGTAGGGGAGAGCAACAGGTTATTATAGGGGCTTCAGGGGCAGGCCAGGTGGTGTGTGTAGACACATACAAGCTGTCCTCCAAGAGAGGAAGGTGGCCAAGAGATGGCTGAGGCAAAAGTGGCTCATGACTGGGGCAGGAGGACATGAGAGCAAACCCCTCTTCTACTCTGCTAGCATTTAAATTTTCTACAATGCTGCCTTTCAACAGCACTATAAAAAGATACCCAGTGGTTTTTGGAGTCAGGATTAGGTAGGAGAGGAGGCACATTAAATTGCTGTGGTGACAGGCTATCAAGTAATCTCTGATTCGTAAGGTCCCTATGAATGAGTGGCTTCCAAAATTAACAGCCCCACTTGGGTAAACTCAAGTCTGTGGCTTCCTTTCTGGAGTCAATCCATGCCATCTTTGGTCTTTTCAGCCTGCTGCTTTCAATATTTCCTAGCATTATTGTCTTTTCCAGTGAGTTTGCCTTCCCATAATGAGCTTAAAGTACACCAGCCTCAGTTTTGCATTTTTAGCTTCTAAAGAGAGGATCGATTAAAGTGGGAAGATTCCAAATGCATCAACAACAGCCTGAAAAGCCAGGTCATTGTGCCAGTCCTGCTTTGTTTGCATAAGCTTTTCCAGCACCTTCCACATATGCAGGTTTAAGTGACCTGGTTAATACAATGCCTGCTGAACACTGGGGAACTCCTCTTCTTCCTTTCCTTGAGAGAAAAGCTTGCTCAAAAGCAGACATGGAGCACCTAACCTTTGGTCCTCAACCATTCACTTCTGTGGCATGTCATGAGTCATGAACCATTCACTTATGAATGGCCATTGGAACCCATAAACAAGTCACAAGTAGGTGGAACGGTGCCACGAAGATAAAAACATTGGGAGAGAGATGACTGTGTCATCTCTGAGCCATAGTCTAGCATGAAATGGCCAATACAAGCCTCACTGAAAGGTATAGAAGCTGCAATAAAGCTTGCTTCTTGCACAACTTCAGTTCATTGCAGTGTGGCTTGCATTGGACTGCCTCACACTGTTGTGATCCATTTATTAATGACTGGAATGCAGGTATCATTTAGATTTTCCTTCATAGCCAGTAAAATGTTTTCTGTTGGGCCCATATTACAGTTATGGGGCTATTTTTCCATTTCTCTGTTCCCCTGTACAGCCCCTTTTGTAACAGGAAAAACAAACAAGAATTTTAGAAGAGTTCCTTAATATAGCCTACCAAGTAGGAGCACCTATTTACAGAGCCAGAGGTGAGGAGTTTGATTATTCACTGTGCTTCCCAGGAGAAAAGTCAGCCTGTTGTTGTTTTGGGCAAGCCGTACAGCCCCAGGACACCCCCCCCAAGAAGAAGAGAATCGTAAACCCCTTCTGAGTACTCCTATAACTGGAAAACCATAGATGAGGTTGGCATTAGTCACAATCAACTTGATGGCACACAATTTTTATTCCCCAGGACTTCGTTACATACATATGATCCTTGCCCTAAATTTCTTTTTTTTTAACAAAAAGAATGTGCCTAAAAGTGTGAACAGCACATATGTGTCCTTAATAACCACCATTAGTACTTTCAAGACTACAACTCCCAGAATCCCCTGATCTTCCTGGGAGCTGTAGTCCACAGATGTAGCTTCCCCCAAGCTCTGCCTCAATGAAGTATTGATTGTGATTTACTTGTGCCTGTTTCTGAGAGTGCAGCATAGGGTAAAAAAAAAACTTTCAGGTTTCACAGACAGGCTGTGGAATGATGAGGAGTTTCCTCCTCCTCCTTGCCTCCCATAGACCCGCCAGCAACATGATTAAGCAAGGAAGTGAAATTTCCTCCACCCCTGCCCGAAGCAAAAAAAGGCCTAGTCTGGACCGCAGGAGCTGCCTTGTTCTACACAGCTGCCTTAACCCTCCTTGGTCCAGGCCTTGAGCATAGTTTCAAGCAGAGGTAAAAGAGGGCTTGTTTGTGTTGTGGAAAAACTGATGCAGGAGGCCATGGCGCTAAAGAGTCACCCTCTCAAGGGAAGTCTGGATAGTGGATGAGCACACTCTGAACTGAAGCCTTCTCTCGACTTCTACAGAAAGAAAGCCCGGACAAAAGCCGGCAATGACACAACGCTGAGAAACTGACAGACGTGTCAGGTTTTAATGCTTGTTTTTTAACAATAGTTACAAGCAATACTGAAAATGAGAAGGAGGGGAAAGGGAAGTGACATCGTTTCCTCTGGCAGGAGGAAGGAAATGGGGGTGTCCTGTCTTGGTGAGGTCCATTTAAAAGAAGGGGAAGGATTCCAGCCTCTTACTGCTCTTATGCTTATAATAATTATTATAATTGTGTGCCATCAAGTCAATTTTAAATTGTGGCGACTCTTTCCAGGGTTTTCCAAGTAGAGAATATACAGAAGTGGTTTACCATTTCCTTCTTCTGAGGGCGCCCTGGGACTGTGCAGCTTGCCCAAGGCCAAAGAGGCTGGCTCTTCTCCTAGGAGCCACAGTGGGGAATCAAACTCCCAACCCTCTGGCTCCACAGCCAGATACCAAAACCACTAAGCTATCCATAATGCCTTACCACTATTTAGACACTGGATTTCTTTGTGATAAAACAAGAGCAGCAGCACGTGGCAGGGCATGTCAAACTAGGAAGTGAAGACAGGTGGTGCTGGGGACACTGTGCCACATTTTCAGCAATTTCAATAGTTTCTGGGAGAGGAGACTTTGAGCCAGTGTGCCAAGGAGCATTTCTTTTCAATAGCCTCTCTTAACTGCTAGCCTTCCTAGTTAACCTGCGGTTCTCCCAATCTGCAGTGTTTTGTCCACAGGTACAAGTACTGTGAAAAACAGCAACAGCCCAGCCCCAACAAAAGCTAGGGGAGTTAGCAGGTGTACTGATGATAACAAAAGGTAGCACATCAGTAGGCACTGTGTTTAAACTGCTCTACTGCAGCCAAAGCTGTGCTCACGACCTGGGGTTCAATCCCAGGTAGCGGATCAAGGTTGACTCACCCTTCTATCCTTCCGAGGTCGGTAAAATGAGTACCCAGCTCGCAGTGGGGGTGGGGCACTGTGTAGCCTGCAGAATTAACTTGTAAACCACCCAGAGAGTGCTTGAAGCACTATGGGGCGGTATGTAAGCAGCACACTTTGCTTTGCTTTTGCTTTGCCTCTTCTTATAATACAATTCTCCCTTGAATTGCATGGGTCTGAGCAGCACAGTTTTGGTTATACACAGTTTTTTTCACCAATAAATAAATATTTCAGTAAATACTGTGCTGCTATTTGTCTCCAGGAAGGGGCCTGAGAAAGATGGATCTCAGACTTACTGAGCCCCCTGTCATTGGTGGTGTGGCAGTGGCCTGTCCGGGCCGGCCTTCTCTCCTGGTGTGGCAGCTCCATGTGGTGACCAGAGAGAGCGGTGGGTCACGCCAGGACATTGGGGTAGGGGAGGTCACGATGGTGTACTGCTCTGTTGAGTGTGTGTTCAGAGATTATGCCTCCATTTTCCCTCTCTGATAGAGGCTTTAGTTATGTTTTGGGAAGCATAAGAGTTATACACGGATTATGCAAGGGAATCCAGTGCTCCTAACCTCATCATTATTGAAGGGAAGAGTGTAATAATAAAAGAGAAAGCATGTGTATTGTTGGCTACAAGCCTCATATACTTCTACAGAATCTAGACACTTGAAACATCAGGCTCCTCAGGAGACTAGAGATCTCAAGATCTCATCCTGGCTCACCTTTGCTGAAGAACCCATCCATCAGGGCCATGAGAGTCAGTGAGGAAGCTGAAGCTACTGT